GGGACAAAACGAGAAATAAGCGGATCCAAAATTTCGTACAGATTTGCAGTGCCAACATTTACATCCGAACTAAGGATGAAATCAGTCCAGTCGTAGGAATTAAGGTGTGTTGATAATTCGGTTGAGCGAGTTGATCGGAAATTGCGGAAAAAGCTATACTTAGCAGACGCCAACAACTAATATGGACAAAGGGCAGCCGAAGCGGATGGATTTGGCTTAGGTTTTTTTCCTAAATCAGTTTAAGTCAGTTTATTTAGTTAATGAGGCTTTTGCCTTTGAGCTTCCTATTCATATCGATAAACAGATATAAAGTCATCAGTTACATCAACAAATGCTAAAAGTTAAAATTAAGCGATAAGTGTGAGCTAGGCGCAAACTGCCGCCGCTAAAACAATCATTATTATATGTACAGTAGGTTCTCAAAAAATGAGCATCTAGTTTGCACTTAAAGGATTTTATACTTTCGGGAAGAACGACGGCAACAGGGAGTCCGTTCCATGCCCCAATGACCCTGTGAGATAAGGCCTTCCGTCGGACGTCCGAATGAGCCCGCTTCCTTTACAGTTTGAAGGGATGACCACGCAGACGGTCAGTCCTGGTCAATTCGAAGAATCCCTCAAAGTCTAGGGCTCACTCACGGCTTCTTACAATCCTGCAGGTTTGAATGAGATCGCCGCTCAGTCGCCTGTAATTTAGAGGGAACAGATTTAGTTCGGTCAGCCTGGTTTCGTAAGGCAAATGATGAAGATTCTTGACCATCTTCGTAGCCATCGCCTGCACTCTTTCCAGTCGTTGATAATCTTTCTTCAACCACGGTCGCCAGGCCTGGACTGCATACTCTAAGTGAGACCGGACGAATGCCCCATAGGTTTTTCGGAACAGCTGCCTATCGATCTGCACAAATCCTCGCCTCAGCGCAAATAACACCCTTATCGCACTTTTGGCTGCCCTTTGACACTGTGAAGATGGTTTCAGCGAGGGGGTCATTAGGACGCCGAGGTCTTTCTGTTCCACAACATTTGAAAGGGGCTGACCACTAAGGACGTATTGAAAGGAATCGTCCTCCTTACTGGTCTGTCTGGTGCGGAGTCTCAGGACTACACATTTGTCCACATTAAAGTTAAGGAGCCAACGAGCTGACCAACTCTTCAGACGGTTGAGACTGTCTTGAAGCACGTACCTGTCCGCGTCAGATCCGATGGGTCTCCACAGCTTAAAATCGTCAGCAAACATGATGGCACTGCATCCCAGGTCGTATACGCAGTCGTTAATGTAAACCAGGAATAGCAACGGCCCTAAGACGGAGCCCTGGGGTATATCACTTAGAACGGGGGTAGGAGTTGACCTTGAGGCCTCAATGCACACGGTTTGCGATCTCCCGGTAAGAAAATCTGTTACCCATGTCAGCAGCCTTCACCTTATACCGATTTCAGAAAGTTTGTAGATTAGGCGTTTGTGTGGGACGCTGTCGAACGCTTTCTTAAAGTCTGTGTAGATGACATCGACCCTACCATCCTCGTCCAGTGCGCGAGTCCATTGCTCCGTCGAGAGCAATAAACTGGAAAGGCACGAGCGGTTCTGTCTGAAGCCGTGCTGCAGGTTTGAGATTAAATGGCCCTGCTCCAGGCAACTTCATTGTTGCTTTCTTAACTATAGCTTCCATTATTTTACAGCAGATGCAGGTTAGACTAAGAGGCCGGTAATTGTTAGCATTAGTGCGAGCCCCGCCCTTGTATATCAGAAAGATATTTGCTGTCTGCCATTCCGATGGCAGCCTCCCTAATTCGAATGACGAGTGGAAGATGTGTGCCAGTGGCTTGGAGAGTTCATTCGTCAATTCTTTCAAGAATTTGGCCGTTATATTGTCCGGACCCGAGGATTTTGTTTCTTTGAGATTTTTCAGCTCCCTTTCCACGACAACTGTCGGGAAGAGTATGGAGTCAAGCCCGGGACCAGCGGTCTCAACTGTACTGCTTACAGTGCGACTGCGAAACTCTCTCTCTGGTAAAAACCGAGGCAAAATACTGTCCCAAGTGTTCGGCTTTCTCGCTTTTCTGGATGATCTCTACACCATTATCATCCTTCAGCACCGCAACCGGGTCCTTATTTTTCAGTCTGCTGTTAAGATATTGAAATAAAATCTTGGGCTTCTGTTCAGCCTGTCGGATAATTTTGGATTCATACTCCTTCCGTGCTTGACGGATACATTTTTTGACGGCATTTCTTTGACGACCGAATTCTCCGAAATGCGGTAGTGACGCAGTTTCCTTGAGTATTTTCCATCTTCTGCCTTTCTTCTGTAGCTGCCTATTTAGGTCCCTAATTAACCAAGCACGTCGACTAGTTGTTTTTTTGTACTGTAGGTGAACAACAGCGCCTAATCAGATCGAGTGAAATCGTCTTAAAGGATCTGCAGTCGTCCTCCATATCTCCCCTGAGTAATTGGTCGCAATTCACGGACAGCAATTCGTTCTTCATCGTATTAAAATCTGCCTTCCATATATTGGGTTGGCCCTCTGTTCTCTTCTGGCGTTCAGAGAAGATCGAGTAATCCTGTAGTAGCGTAGTATGGTCACTTTTCCCGAGAGGTGCACTGGAATACACTTCGTCGATATTAGAGAAGTCTTTAGTGAAAACTAGGTCTAGACAATTCGCTCTCTGGTTCTCTCGAAATCTTGTTGGTACCTTCACACGTTGTGCCAGAGGGAGATCGAGTGTGAGGTCCTGTAGCTTATTGTTGAAAGAAGCTGAATCCCCGTTAACTGCCATAATTTCCCACTTTATTGAAGGTGCGCTGAAATCCCCAGCAATAAGTACCTCTTGTTGGCTAGCTACGTCTTTGACTAAACCAAGGAGCGACTCATCAGCTGCACTCAGAAGGTTTGGTGGTCTGTAAATCGCCAGAAATTCTAGACTTTGTGCATTGCTCTTCT